AGAAATTATGAATTTTGCATATTGGTAGTTTAACATTATATTGCCAAATAGTCGATGAGGTCTTTTTAAATATAATTGAATATTACAAAATGATATTACATTATTCAAATTACAAAAATTAAACAATACACATTTATAATATATAATAATAAGTATAAAGTTCTGAATAAATTTTAAAATTTCAGAGTTTGAATTATCAATTCAAAACAAAATTTAAAGAATGAATGTTTGGAATCAATAGAGAATTTAACTTGCTTTTCTAAATATTATTGGGAAAATGATATTAATTTAAATATATATAAATCATTATAATTCAAAATTTTATTACTTACTATTTATTTGAGTTTTAGCTTCTATCTTTATTCTTTCGTTTTTTTGAAGAATTTGGTATTAAAATTGTATATGGATGTTGAGTATTCGAAGTATACTGGTTTGTAGAATTTACATTTATTGATTGCCTAAATATAATATGTTTAGGTTAATATTTATTGTGCCAATTTACTATTTGTATTTTAGAAAATAATATTTTTCAAAATATAGAATACCTTGGAGTATCTATATTAAAATCATATTCTCGTGAAATATATGCTAAAGAAAAAGATAAGAAATAAAAATTAATATATAACCATTATTTGATTCCTTAAATTTATTTTCGAAAATATTATTAAGGTTAATGAACGACAAAATTTTAAGATAAATCATAATAAACATTATACGCACCTTGTGTATTATTTGATGAATTTAAGGATAAGGTCATAGAAATTAAAGAACTTAATGCCCTACTTGTATAGATTGCTTTTGGATGTTTTTCAGTACATTCAGGAACAAGTTTTTTTAATTCCATTAATTCCTCTCGTTTTATTTCAGATTGATCAAATATTTCATTATTTTTTTTCTTATGACACCAATTTCCAACAGTTTTACATAATTCTTTTATAGAAGGTCTATTTGAAGGATCAGATTCCCAACATCTTTTCATTAAATCAGCATAACATTCAGGAGTATCATTTGTAATTTCAGGACGTTTTCCGTTAATAATTTCATAAATAAGTCTATGATCATGTTCGATATTATAAAATGGTTTACAACATGTAGTAAGTTCCCACATAATCATACCTATACTATAAATATCTGATGCCTTTGAAAATGGAGCGTCATTAAATATTTCCGGTGCAATATAAGGAATTACTCCATATATTTCATTATTTAATGGTGTATTATTTGCAGGTTGTGATAATCCTAGATCTCCAATTTGCCATTGATAAGGTTTAGTATTCTCTTCAACGTATAATATATTTCCACTATGAACGTCTCGATGTATAAGTCCCTTATCATGAATTGTTTCGAGCCTATTTACAAAGTAAAATTAGTATTATATATACTAATTAATGGTTATAAATATTTAAATATATATATAAATACCCATTTAAAACATTCCATAAAATTTTTAATTTTTTTTTATTCCATGTTATTTTTGTAAAATTCTTTTGTAAATGATTATGTAAATCTCCACCTGATGCATAATTCATTACTAACATATAATTATTTGTTTTAGGATCTTTTGTAATACCATAACATCTTATAATACGATTAATTTTTCTATCAAAACAACAATGATGATACGAACTTAACTAAAAAATAACATCTTTTAGATTAGATTATTTGAAATTATTAAATAAAATTACATTTCGATATAAAAATTACCTCATTTAAGAAATACTTGCTAATATCTTTGGAATTTGAAACCATTTTTACAGCAACAATTTCATTTTTTCTATAGCTAATATCAGAACTATTATTTTTAACTTTAGGTATTTCACCTAAACAATTTGCTTTATAAATAATACTGAATCCCCCTTCTGCTATTTTTTTTAAATTCGTAATATGAGAATATGGGATCCAATTTATTACAAACTGTGAAAAAAAAAGGATTTTTCAAATAAACTTTATATAACATTAATGGATTAGAATTATTCAAAATACTTTTTATATTTAGAATATTAAATTTTGATTTGAGAATAAACTCATCTATATTACTGTTTCCACTGCTTATAAATGATGTTTCACTGCTTAAGGGTGATGTATTAATAGTTAAAGTAGTCTTTCTTTCACATTTTCTACATTGAGAATGATCTATAATTCCAAAAATCATATTTGTTGTCAAACAATATCTACATCCATTATAAGTTATTGAGCAATAAGAACACCATTTGAGACAATCAATTTCAGCTTTTAGTAGTTTTTCACAATTTATACAATAATATGTTTGATCCCACCATGATAAATATAGGATTAGAATAGGCTTTTTAGTCAAAGTTGATTCTAACCATTCAGTGGAAATTTTATAACAATCTGAACATAACAAGAAATCTATCGTTTGATAAACTGATGATTTTCCACATAATTTACAATCCTTATTATTTTCTAATTGTCGATAACTCAAATAACCGGTATTACTGCTATTACGATATACTTGTTTGAAATATAATATTTCGGAGCAAAATTCACACCATTCATGAATTTTTTGTGTGTAAAAATCTGCATTTCTAGCTTCATGTTTATTACAATGTACATTCTTTGTAACTATAAGTACATCCAAATAAATGTTGTTTTTATCAACACAACCAATATACTTCGAAAAGCATCTTTTACAATATGTTTGGTTAAATAAACGTGTAGAAGAGTATGCATTCCCACAATGACATTTATCACCATACCTAAAAGGAAGAAACGTAATTGGTACAGGACTGGATTTTAAATTTGGAGTTGGGTCAAAAGAACTTTCATTATTTGTAATTGTTGGTTCCATTTTGTTAGATTAAGAATTTAAATTTTGCTAATTTGAATAATTTAACATTATATAATTTTTATGTTGGAAAAAATTTGTATTATTTATTTTTCTTTGTTTAATTTGTTTATGCAGGTAGGGGTAGTACATGACATAATTAACGCCACCGAAGAAAACACATTTAGATGCGTGATAATCGTTACTTATGCACCGAAACATCATCTGGAAGGTGTTTTAACTTCTGAAAATTTAAATCTTGATTGATATCTTTGCTAAAATTTTAAAGCTTAACAAGTTTCGCTCAATTTGATCTCCAAATGAAGTTCACTGTGATAGTTTCGGATTTTAAAAACATGGTTTCGACCAAAACATTAGTATTGTTTAAAAATTTTGGTAATGTATGTTGATTTTTATTTTAAAAGTTACAATTCACATAAATTTATATATAATCACGTGAATCTGGTTATTATTTTGATCAAAATAACAAAAATAATTCAGTAATTCACATGATAACCAAAAGTCTAATTATAAATGTACTGGTTGCCAAAATTATTATTCCTTAATTTCTTTACTACGCCGTCGTGTCGATCATTTTGATGGGGTCTGAAATCAAGAATTCCCAAATCGGAAAAAGGAAATAAATTTTCGAATTCCAAAATTCCAAATTCTATTTTTTATTAATATAACATTCGAAATTAAAATTCTCTCATTACCAATTACATTTATTCCTTTATTCGATGATGTTAATTGTCATTGCGGAAATCGAAAGTTTTATTTAACCAAAAAAAGTTGCTCAAGTAAAGTTTGGCGTAGAATTTGCTCCGAAAATTTATATTTCAAACAAAAATACGTTACGTTCCTGTATCTAGTTTATGGGGAATGAAAAGGGGTTGGTTTATTGGTCCACTTGACCGATCAGTCATGTCCACAAAATTAAATTAGGAATTAAAATTAGTAAAATTTTCAGATTTTACTCGACGTCCTCCCATATACTAAGCTACTTGTTCCGATTTATATTTACCATGGGATCAAATAATTTCTTGTAAAATTACAGAAAGTTCTGAAGGCTGAAACAAATTGTCTCAAATGGTGTTCATACTCAAATGGAAGTAGATATCGTTTACTAGCAAATATTATTTTTGGCATCAGAATGTAGAAAATGCGAAAGGACAGCGCTTATTATTGATGCATCAGTTACTAGCGGTTGGGAACAATGATATAGAATATTTGCTGATTTTGTGGATAGTATTATGAACGATTCTAATCCATAAAAATGTATATGAATATCTTAAAGAGAAAACTATCCATTCACATTCACGTTCTTTAATTAAATGGATGTCATTTTCAAATGTAAAACAAATGTAAAAAGGTGATTCGTCATTATTTATAAAGCAAATTATTTAGGTAAAATACTTAAATTTAATAATTATTTATATATCAACTATAGGGAAAATGAAACTATTGTTATAAAAAGTTTAAAAATTTAAAAGATGTTAGCAAGTATTTTTTAAATGAGGCAATTTTTTTCAATAATACTATATACAAAATGTAATATTAATTAATTACGATTAATCTAAATTATGTTACTTGCGAAGTTCACAATCATCGTTGCTATTGTGATCGTGCTAGAAATGTTGTTGTAATACAAAAGTATCTACGCAAGTAGAGCACTAAGTTCTTTAATTTATTATGTAATTATCCATGAATTCATTAAATATTACACAAGGTGTTTGTCATAGTAACTATTTTGAATTGTGTCATTGATTATTAATATTTTATTAATTAATTCATGAATTACAAATTCGTAAATTTAGCTGATAAATGAAAAGGAGTTCTAATGCATAATTACTTTTTTTTCATATTTGTACCTTTATCAATTTCAAATCTCTCCTCCGGTTACGTTACAAAAGTAAATACATTGTTTTCTAGATAGTTACTTTATAAATAAATGTGGCTGTCACTTTCTCGTGTAACATATGCATTAGTTTGGTGATTTGATACTATTTCGTTGATAAGCAAAACAAAGCTGCGATGATAATCTATTAATGCATAATTAATTGGTGATTACAATGAGTTGAGTTTTACCGTAAAAGGTAATAACATTATAACGATTAATAAATACCCTTTTATGGAAGCCAATTTCCTCATTTTACTTTTAATCATTTTTTTGTCACAAATTTCCTTTGTTTTATTTTATCTTTTTTTTATTAACATGGAAGATAAATTTTGGCCAGAAATCATAAACGACTTGAAATTATTACTCGAAACAAAGAGTAATCAAGATGTATGTATAAAAGCAGGAAAAGAATCGGATTATACAGAATTCTATGCCCATTCACTTATACTCAGTTGTCGATCTCAATATTTTCGTAATATATTTACAACCGATTCGATTGAAAGAAAAGATGGAAAGTACATTATGAAAAAGCCCAACATTACTTCAAATTCTTTTAGAAATATCTTAAGGTGAGGTTAGGAGGATCATGTCGCTCTTCTTGTTTAAGGAATTTTCACTTAACCCCATTTTCTCCCTCTCGGCCCGTGTCGGTAAATTTTAGTTTCCTTTATATAGGAAAGGTGGTTCTTGATCCGGAGAATGGGGTTGAGACGCTTAATTTATTGATAACGTCAAATGAATTCGGATTACATAAATTATCGCAGCACGTAGCGGATTTTTTGATTCAACACCAAAGAAATTTTATCCAAAAAGATCCGATAAAGATTATAGAAATTGTGTATTCACATGACCTGTTCATCAACCTTCGAGAATTTTGTTTAGATGTGATATGTTTCGACCCAGAAATACTCTTGGCCACAGATAAGTTCAGTTATTTATCGGAAGAAATAGTGACACAATTATTGAAAAGAGAAGATATATCATCCATTAAGGAAATCACAATATGGGAAAATATAATCAAATGGGGAATGGCAAGGAATCCTACGATAGATTTTGATGTTAACAAATGGACAAAAGATGATACTGTATTAATGAATCGTACCATAGGAAAATTCATACCTTTAATTCAATTTTATGAGATGTCTGCCGAAGATTTTTTTAATAGGGTCTTGCCTTATGAGGAATTAATACCAAGAGAACTTAAGCAAGAGATTCTCAGAGCTCACATGTTACCCGGATCAGCCAAAACAGCACCGAAATCATTTAGAAACTGTTCAGATGATAATTCCATTGAATCGGTTTCGACGACGGAACCAATTCGTCGTCAAAGTCTGATAAAAATAGATTCGACGATAATAACCACACAACATGCGTTAATCTTTTCAAATTGGATAGATAGGAAGTTTAATGGTTATCAAAGTTTAAAAATGGCCCCTTACGAATTTAATTTATTATTGCGTGGGAGTCGAGATGGTATGGACTCAAAAAAATTTCATAAATTATGCGATAACAAAGGTCCAACGATTTTGGTGATTAGAGTAAAAAATTCTCGACAAATTGTCGGAGGGTACAATGCTTCTGAATGGGATTCTTCGGATAGCACAAAGTTCTCTACCGAATGTTTCTTATATTCGTTTGCGGATTATAATAAACTCGAAACCGGTACAATCGGACGTGTAAAATCTCATGGTTGCTCCGTACGTTGTTATAAAGATTGTGGTCCCATCTTTGGTAATTATGAAGGTGGTAACGACCTAGTCATGAAACGCAAGAACGAATGGAAATCTAAACCTGTTTCTTACCCGAACATCAATATTCCCAAAAAATTCAATTGTTCTGATTATGAAGTTTTTCAAGTTAAAAAAAAGGCTTAACAACATAAACGTTTTGGTAGGATATCGGTAGATATCCCTTTGGGTTGGATATTTTTAGGCGGATTTTTTTTTTTACATGATGTATTAATCATTTTACTTATAATAATTTGATTTAAAATACTTCATATACAGTATTAAATCTCGTGAATAACGTGCAAACGAGAAGTTCTAATTTTTATTAGCAAACATTTTACCGAACATTCAAATAATAAAGAAAAGATACAAAGAAAATGAATGTAGTCATAAAGTTAATAAAGAAATTGCTCATAAAGGTATTAACCAATAATTTAAGAATTAAGAGATATAAGGAATGAGTGTAAAACTAATTTTCACAGTGTCGAATTTAAATGTCACAAGACCCGAATTTCTTACGCCTCCTTGTAATTGGTAATTGGCAAATAATTAATTTAATCACGCCAAGAATTTTCCTGACAAACTATTAAAAAATAAAAATAATTTTTTATGGAAAATTGCAAAGTTCCATGGCTAAAATTAAGATAATGCAAATTTTAGTTGAAAATGCGTCCTACTTATTAAATACATCATGTTGTCAAACCGTCAATAAAAAAAATCTATATGATTGCAAATGAATATTATACAAATGTATCTTAATTTCTCTCATTTCTTTGGCAGATATAAAATCAGCATCATTTCATTATTGCTGATTTTTTTTTTCCTACATTCAATTAAAATAAAAGAAAATGTTTAAGCATTTTGAAAAAATGGAAACGCATTATAATTTACTTTATATTTTCCTAGTCCTCATATCATTCGTAAAATCAATTCCATTGATTTTACGAGGAGAAGCTGAATTTGAATTAGATTTTTGTAAATTATTTGTCGAGCCAAGCGGATTTGCGTGCCCAGTTGAAAAGGGAGATTTCGACTTGGTTAATAGAGGATGAACCTAAAAAATATTGTAACACAATTATATACGAAATGCACTCGTGTCATAAAAATGAATTGTATTATTACCATATATTTTACTTATTATTATTTAAAGCGGACTTGTGTATCTACCTTATGAGTGAGTTGACAACAATGCGAAAGCGAATATAATCAGTGAATTTCACTATTGAAAAATAAAAATTAAATCTTGAATTAATTCTCATTCTTGCTTATTTCCTCAATTATATCGTCGCGATGTATAATAGTATATATATTTAGCGATGTCTCCAAAAAAAAAAACAAACATGTCGGCCGTCCTGGCACAGTGAGGACACGTGATTTACTCCGATTAAAATCAAAAGCTTTGTCATTGGGAAGTGAGGATACAATGGAAACATTCAATAAAACAGAATTATTTTTTTTTTTAACTTGACAAATGCACTTTTTTCATTTTTTTTGTTCCTATGCAAATTTATAATAATGGGCTGTGACATTGATATTTTTCTCTTTTACTGAAGTATAGCAAATAATTTCAAGGAAATGTTGAGATTCGTCCTCAAAAGTCTGAATCGATGTGATCTTTTTTGATTTCGCAGTTGACTTAAATCGGATAGCAAAAACATTTAGAGTATAAAAGATGATTTTGTAAAAAGGCATTGCACTAAGCTCGAGTCATCTTTGTTGAAACATAAAAGTAAAAGGGAAGATAATTCAGCTGTCAGAAATTTTTGGGATAGTTACTGATGCCGAAAATTAAACTTTATAGAATGCTCGTTGGATGACAAGATAGGCTGAGGTTCAAATTATTGAAATCATTATGTACGATGACTCTGAGAAATTGAGAGAAATATACAGTAAAGGGCAAGTTCATTGATTATTCTTGTGGAAGATTCGAGTAATGTAGTGATAGATAGTAGAAACATCATATATCACAGATTAAGTCTCAATTCATATAATGAATTCTGTAACTTTGTATATTTACATAGCATGCCACTATATTGTAAACCGCAAAATAACGCATAATAAAGATTTTTTATATAATATATCAAATTCGATATTCCATAAGTTGATGTTAATACTTAATCAAGTTTCTTTACAAACGAAACTATCGATTCAGAACTTGATATTTGCACAGAACATTAGAAATATTTTATATAGACGACATCATGTATCACAAGAGTAAGTTACATTTTTTATGTCAAAATTTTTTATTATAAATTAAGAAGTGTCTGATGATATTTTTCCAAAGATTGATTCCAAAATCAATATTGCAAATTTTTCAAAAGTGAGGCACTAGTTAAACCCCTTTATCCGCCTTGTGCAAGCGAAAAATAATAAATCTGATCCAACTTACTATTTAATGAAAGGTATATCATTAACACTTCGATTATGAACATCATCATAATGATAATTAATTTTTCTATATAGATGTTCAAAGTCAAAGCGGAGCGGACAATATTATCATTCTTGATCTTTAAAGAAATATCACATGACTGTAATTTACCGGATGACGAGATGCATAGGTTAACTTTAACTACAATAACCATATCCCTAATTTTATAAAATTGAGAAGAAGAAATATGCTGAGAGACATAACAACAACGAATAAATAAGATTCTTGTTGCTAATTCTACTATATGGCTCGATTTTCTTCGTTATCAGGATTAATAGAACTCGCTATCGTCTGACAGTTGATTTTTAAAAAATAATTTTTTTTTTTTTTTTTTTTTTGAGACCTTTGCAATAAAACTGTGGAAAACTAAAAAAAAAAATCTCGACCCGAAAGTCATATTTGGCATATAAAAGTAAAATTGCTTTTTTTCCAGCGTTTCCCACTTTCGATTGGAAAATGAGCGACAGTAATTAGCAATATTGAGTGATCAATTGTAAATTCTTTCTTGTATTTTTTTTTTAAAAAAAAAAATATATATATAATAAAAAATCTAACTCAGGGAACTAACTTGTTTGACGATAAATCACGAAGACTAAATAAAAGAGCTTATTTGATAATAATTTATATACAAATATTTTTCAAATGAACGAAAGCAATTTTTTAAATAGAATTCTATAGCAAGTAGTTGAATAACGTTTATTATTACGAACCTGAAGAAAGAACCCTAAACAAAGGAAAGCAATAAAATAAAAATAAAAAAAAAATTTAAAAAAAAGCCTTCACCGCAGCATGTCGAATTAATATTTTGTAAAAAATGTGGATTGAATATACTAAAAGTTAATTAATTTTAGAATTATCGGTATCTTTCACAAAAGCTTTTTAATTATTACAAATTCTTGGAATAAAAAATTCGAATGATCGCACAATTCTTTCGTTTAAGATCGGCGCTAAATTAACATTACATTAAATTTCAATTCATTGATTACGAAATCTAAAATGTTGATGTAAAAGTAGAAGAAATATAATACGGGCACGACTATTTGGTATTAAATTATTTCTAAAATAAAGAACATAATTTAGTTTCAAATAGAATGACACCAGAGAAGACAGATACATAGTGATGACCGATTATTCAATTGATATAAACCTTTAAATAAAATCAACTTTAAGAAAATCTCCATTGTTGCCGATCTCAAAACATATATATAATGTACTACTGTAACAGAAATTTTTTTTATATTCAAATCCATTTGTTAAAAATGCATAGTATAACATTCTTAACATTGTCGTTTCTGATTTTAACCATTATTTCATCGGTTCATGCTTGGATTACCGTAGGTATATCCTATGGAGTATGCAATCTCACCTTTACTGATGAGGCAATCCACATCAACGAGCACGACGCTCATTTTTATACAAATTCTACAAGGGTCAAGCAAATAAAATCCTATAATCAAACCTCTGATGGGTTTGTACTCAATGTCACTATGTACGGGTGCCAATCAAATTGTGGTTGGTCATTTGAACTAAAAGTAGATAATTCTACAAGGAAAGTTACGCCAGTTACTAGAAAACAGCTTCCTTATACCTGTGCGGACGAATCATACACGTGGCACGTTGATCTGGACGTCAAAGTTTTGAGTCTTGGAGATACTCCTAATCCAGATTATCCTTTTTCTTTTAACCTAGCTATGGATTATTGTAAAAATAATTACAACATAGACAACAACACCGAAATAACTAGCAAAGATGATAAAAATTACTTTAACTGTCTCTATGCTTATTCCGATAGAATGTATGATTCTGGATCTATTTTTAATTTTGAAAATGATGGGGCTCGATGGCCATTTATGGGACAAAAACCTGCTGCTTTATCTTTAGCTGCAACAGTAGATAATGCTTTTACCTTTTATCAGAACCACTACCTAGGATTAAAATATTCTTTTGCTAACATGTCTCAAAATATTTATGATCACCTAGCTGATTTTGCTCCATTCTATAATCATGCACCGGATGACTCGATTTCTTATGACATTTCTGACACATTACAGTTATTCACTGATCATTTTAATTTGAATTTACTCAAAGTAGGAACAATCTTTATTGACTCAGTTTCTGGTATGTGTATACTGTTATAAAGTATATGGTATATTTTTTAAAAAAATAAATATCTTCTTATTTTTTTTTTTTTTTTTTTTATAGATCAACCAATTTTTCTTGATAAAAATGGAAACCCATTACAACGAACTGTATATTTAACAGAATTTTACTACAAAGTGCCTTTTGATGCCACTGGTAGAATGAGAAATACTTTTAAAAATTTTGGTCAAGATAAAGATTCATATTTGAAAACTATTATTGATAAATTACCCAATATGATGAATGGAAATATTGATGTATTCACACCTTCAACTTATTGGCTTGCAGCACCTTTTTATATGCCCATCGAATTAGTTAATTTTGGTAGTGTAGATGTTAGGAACTTTGCACAACCTACCCTTAATGCAGCAGTGGCAAGCACCATCCTCAATCATTATGGCTTTACCTATTGTGACCACGTAGATCAAAATCTCTGTGGTAAATGTTGCTCGGCAGAATTTGCTATATCTGCTTGCGTGGTTATTGGTAGATATGACTGTGGTCAGTTAATACATAACAACAATTGTATATTCGGGGGTATTAATTATAAACCCGATGTCATGGATAATATTAGGAAATTTGTTGACTATGATGATTACTGGAATTATGATTACTGTCAAAATAATGTAAACGGTTGGAGTATAAATGCAAAAGGTTGTACAGACGTATCGACTATCCGATGTTCTTCATATCCAAATGGTTGCGACTCTGTTAATTGTGCTGCATATCAACCAGGAGGTTTTGCCTGCCCATGTAGTTCTGCACCAGGCTAATTGATATCAAACTAATTTTTTTTTTAAATATTAATTTAATCAATATATTGAATTTGACAACATTTATTTTAAGCAGGGTTTTAAAGTGTTACTTTAAAATAGATATACATAATTTAGACAAAATGCAATGCAATATAATTTTCAATTATGTAATGTATTTCATATATACATTATTCGCTAAATATTTATTTAATATAGATATATATATCTTTCTCTCGCAAATAAAATATCTTTTGATATTACTTATTTTAAATGATTTAATTTTATCGAAAATCATTAATTGATATTTTTATTTAATATATTTTTTTTTTTTATAAATATTATTGAAAATTTTGGGAATTATTTCTAAAAGTTAAATTTAATAAATAATTAACCCGAAAGAATAAACTTACTATTAAAATGAATCTAAAAAGAAACCTAAAATTAGGGATGTTAACGACCGTTAAAAAACTTAACAGGTTTTGGCTTAGTCAAATACGATAATTTTAAGATTATTCTAAAATTTATGTGGGGCAACATTATTTTTTTTTTTTTTATTAATAATAAAATTCATAAAGTTTTTAATTTAAAAAAAAGTTTGTATTTTTATTTATTGAAATGATTGTTAATTCGATTTACTATTCGAAATAATGAAAGGATTCGGTAATGATTTACCGAATTTTATTTTTAATAAAATATGTGTTAAGTAATGAAATAAAATGTCAAATGTGTG